CATGAAGGTGTGTGGGTTTAGCCAGAGATATTAAGATTTTCCATTGCTTCAGCTTATTAAAAGCATTAGGAGTCTTTGTTGTGTTAATTAAATGTAACCTGAGAGGTGGAATGAGTGACAGGAAAACAGCCAAAGCTATATAACCTAGTATTTCTGTATCTGCCTGGCAAAGAAATTCTTAAGTGTTACTGGGTGAGATTGCTTTCCTTTGGCGAAAGGAGCTGTCAGGTCTTTGACACTTGTAGCTCTAGGTAGTGGTTGGATAAATAAACTAGATAAACAGAACATGGTCAAAATTTAAAGTATATTCTAATGTTTTCAATTTTTACTGCAAAAGTACAGGGTTTCTATCTGCTACTGGTGGTCAGCTTCCAATGCAAGCAGACCCTGGGTTTTCAGGTTGCCTATGATTTTTAGTGCTGTTACCCAAAAGACTGACCTCTGAGCATAGCACATGTGTATTTTAGAAAAGACCTAAAACTGATGGGAATGAAGAGATTCTCAAGAGATTTCAAGTATGACATGAGACAATATCAAACTTCACTGAAATGAAAAGAAACTTGATCTCTAACCTGCAGTATTTGATGCTAAGCTAGTTCAGAGATCTTGTATGAGAAGCAACGGTTTGGTGAGTTTTTCTTCGGAATTCAGAGCCAAATGTATTTTTTATTTTTTCTTTTTTTTTTTTTTATTATCAAAAAGAAGAAAATTACTAGGAATCTAAACACATACAGATTTTGTTTTACAAAATCACAGAGAACTGCAGGTCTCCAAATCAGAAGCATAGACCTAGAAGCAGGAAAGCTGTACATGCAGTTTTAATTGAGGGTGAAACTCCTCCAGCCCCATGGAGTTGTGTGGGACTGAGCTGCATAGCAGTTCGTTGACCATTCCCTTATGGATTATGGGGGCTTTGTTCCACTCCCTGTCTCTGTCTTCCAGCTAATGGGAGCTGGGCACCTTGACAACAACTGGTCTTGTTATTAAAGACAGAGACAAAGAAGGTAATTCCTCATTCCTTGTCACAGTTTTCCCCCATATCCAACAAAGGATAGAGATTCTCCTTTGCCTTCCCTTTCTTTGTAGAAATACTTTTCGTTGTCCTTTAGAGCAGTGGTCAGATTAGGTTCTAGCTGGGCTTTGGCACTTCTAACTTCTCAAGTTCAAGTCCCCCATGAGAACAAGGGCCAGTGATCATGAGACTTCTTCCAGCTGCTTATAGAATATTTCATCTGCACCTTCACCCTGGTTGGGTGTTCTATAATAAGCTCCCACCAGAATATCTGCCTAGTAAATCCTTCTCCAAGCAACCCTAACGGAGTTTCTATTGATCAATTTATTTACTATCTTATGCTTATATAAATATATAGTCAGCTGCATATTCCTGACAACTTGGAATGTTGCTAAACCTTTTGGAAGGTTGCTAAACAATTATGATATTGAACTAGATCCATTACTCTGGCAGTAAGATATGGCTGTAACACCAGACTCTTGAGATCAATTGAATGTTTTGTACCTGCTCCATTTTGAAATTCTGAGCTGTAGTGTTGTGACCATCTACTGTCCTCCTCACAATGTGTCCTGAGATGGTTTTAACCCAACTGTTTGTTGCCTGAACAGCAAGATCTGTACCATTAGCAACTGATATAGTTTAGATAGTGTCTCCATTTAAACATGCAGTAGTATTTGCTTTGTATTTATCTCAAAAGGACAAGTCTGATTGAAATGCCCATATACATTAGTCTGGTGTGGCCAGAGGTCTATGAAGTTATTGAACCAAGTCAACAGCAGCAATGCCATGTCAGTGCCATGACTCCAGACATGGTTTACAGCAACCGCTGGCCACTGTTACAAGGCAGCAACTAGAAATCACACATCAGTTATGTTTCATCACTGTCTGGTCTTTTTCTTCTTCACTCACCTTATCAAACAGTGTTAAACTTGAGCAATCCTTTTGAATGTTCAAGAGTTAAAAACAAATTGAGTTAGATTTTGGAAATAAAGATTTTTTTTTGTCTTCCTAAAAAAAAAAGGAGGCATGTCTATGGCTAATTGCTGTACTTACATATTGCTGTGTTTCTGGATAAGACATGCCTACAAAATTCTATAGAATGCACAAATGCTTTATTTTCTTCCAGTGAGTGTATATGGAGGATGAGATTGCCTTATATAAACATTTGAAATATGCATACCTTTCCTTAAAACAGTAATATGAAACAATATGAAGTGGGAGGGGTACGAGTTGTCGAGGAGATGACGAGGTGGCTGCAGATTTCTCAAATATTTATTAATGGGCTCTTTTTGTGGCATCCATTTCCATAGTAACAGAATAGCTCATGCAATCACGCCTCTTCATTTTCTGAAGATAAACAGATGGGAACTGAGAAGCACAGATGAGAAGACTGAAAACTTGATGTCAGAACTGGATTTCTTCACCAGAGATGGTACTAAAATCTAGATTTATCAACTCCTATACATTGTTTTAACACAAATTAATTTATCTTTTTACTGTAGGACAAAGTAATTAAAAAATTATTCACCAAATAAATTTATGCGGGTTTTTTTTGTTTGTTTTTTTTTGTTTGTTTGTTTGTTTGTTTGTTTGTTTTTTGGTTTTTGGTTGGTTTTTTGTGTGTTTTTCTAATAATCTTGACTGATTTACCTAAATTAGGTAAAACAAAAATGTTTCTTCTGTCATTTGAAATATGTGGAAAGAATCTTTTAAAAAGATTGTCTTAGAGGACCAGATGAGGAGTTCTGCCTCAATGGGAGGTTGTAGAACGTGAACAGGATAAATCTAGAAAGGAAGTGTCACTAGTAGTTATATCTCTGCATAATGATGAGTGTCCTTTGTCAAAACCAGAATATCCAATTCAGTTGAAGATTGGAAAGTCACAAAATGACCTACAGTCACAGAGCAATAGGTGCAGTGTCAATGAGCTCATAGATCACGTATTTTTTTCTCACAATTAGATTTTCTTAGGATTAAACCCTCCTGGCAAAGCTGAGCATTGTGTAGTGTTGAGGTTTTAGCAGCTGCTGCCTTCATTTGCACAGTGTTTGATGTGGGTCAGAGGATGACTTTTAGTACAAGCAGAGCAAGGTTAATTCAGGGTACACCAACTAGGGAAGCCCCAAATCACCATAAGCCCCAAATCACTATCCCAGAGGGTCTTTCCCCTCTAAGTAGCTTGCTGGCAATCCCAAATCAATGAGCTAAGCCTCAGTCAAGACTTTCCTTCCAGATGAAGCATATTTCTGAGGGAAGTGCATTTTCTGGCACGAAGAACACTGGTGAAAAACACTTCATTTGTTCCAGCATATCTTTGTCCCTCTAAAGTATGAATTCTGGTGCTGAGGTTGAGGTTTCATGAGCCTTTGCACTCACAGATGCCATTTCTCACAAAGGCCAGCATCAGAGAGCAGCAGGCAGGTCAGTATCACTGCAGAACTGGGCTTTGCAGTGTGTGGCTCTTTCAGCTCTTGTCCTGTCCTTTGCTTTTCCTGAGAGGACAGTGAGGGATACCTCCCAAGCTGCTCCCTAGCTCCTGTTCTACATCTTCCCTGGCTGAGGCTATTGGCCAGCTGAGTTCTCCTCCCTTCTTCTGGGAGCAATTCTTGCCATCCAGGCTCTCGTGGGCTGAGTTGTGGTTGCAGGTGGCTCAGAAGCATCTCTCGAGGTGACCACTGACCTTATTGTTTGGAGGAACATCAAAAAAAAGAAAGGTGATTTATTAAACATTATTACTTTTTTTTCCCCTCTTTGTCTGCCTTTACTAATTTTTCCTTCTCTCCAACAAAAGGATCACCATTTAATCACACCAGCAGGATCAATATGTATTATTAATGTCCAGATGAACAGTGTTTCTGATAGTACCTCTTCTTCCTCTCCCAAATTTAATGCGCCTTTCATTTTTTTCCCACCTTCATTTTTGCATCACTCTTTTCTATATAAATGCATGGTCTTTTTACCCTCACTGACTGAATGAACTCAATTGGTTGTACCTTCAGGTTATGTCTTTCCTCTGACTGTACATCACCAACCTGTACGTTTTTCACTCATGCCTTAGGCAGAAATTGTGTCAGGCACTACTGGAGTTTTCTGTATTTCCTGTGATGAGAGTCAGGTCAATCTTTCACTTGCGACTTTTCTGCAAGCACAAACCTTTTTCAGAAAATCTTCCACTGTTAAGGTTGTAGCAGCATTTCCTGTGGCCCTTAGGGGTTGTTAGGTAAGGATGGGCTCAGAGGAGGAGGAGGGAAAAAAGCCATGCCCAGAGACTGTGTCAGGGAAAGAGCAATTTATTTCTTTTGTTATGAAGATTTTCTCCAGCCATGTTTGTGCTGCTGCTGGGGAGTCTCCTTGCTGGGCTGCAGGGTGTCTGGGGGCCTGGAGTCCCTCCTCTTTGGGGTGTGCCTTGGCCTCCCAGACAGGTGGTTCCTGCCCTGGCTGGGAGTGGAAGGGCTGCAGCTGCTGCCCTGGGCAGAGGAACCTGTGGCCACTTGCTGCCCTGGCTCTTCTTGGGGCTGGACCTGCTCTGCAGGGATAGGCACAGATTGTAGGTGGCTGGGACTCCTGTGGGGTCCCCCTGGACGCCACCTCCAGCTGGAGCTGCTGAAACTGGAGGTGAAGGTGGCTTCAGAGTCATCATACTCATCCCTGTCAGTGTGGGAGTGCAGGAGCCCAAGGGCCCTCTCACTGCACCAGCTCTCTATGATGCTGATGACACTGTGGACCAGTGGTCCTGTGTCCTCATGGAGGAAATGCTGCAGCCTCTGGATCAAGACATCTGCAACTGGACCATGCATGCAGAGGCTGTTCAGGATGCTGCTCTCTGCGGCCTCAACCAGCCACCACTCATCCCAGTATATTCCCACCAGCCTCTGGTGCAGCCAGGGCAGCACAGGGTCTAGGAGATGCTGTTGCTGACGGAAGAGTCCTGCCCAGACCTCAGGCGGGAGGCCACCCACAGCCATAGAGCAATAGGAGTTGTTTTCAGCCAGGGCACGGGCAGCTGTCCCTGTCTGGCTGCTGGCCTCTGGCAGCCCTTCCAGTTTTGTCTCCCTGTCCATGTCAATGTGTTGCAGAGGGCTGGGGAGAGCTAAAGACTGGTGGCTGCTCCTGCTTGCAGGTGTCCTGGGTTGAGCCAGTCTCTGAAGGTGCCTGAATAAGGAGTGAGGGTTATGATATCACAATCCATCCCCTGGGGATGCTACAGTTTGGTAACATCACCCTCTGCCACTCAATGGTATCATATTTGAATGTGACAATTGGAAATATATAAAATAAAGACATAATATGTAATATAAGACACAATATGTCTTATATTGTGACACAACATGGGGCACAAAGCACATAAAGGCCTTGTCTGTGACTTAAGTCCCCTCAGATGGCCTTGCTCTTCACTATCTGCAGTACAGACTCCTACCAAAATAAATACCTGAGTCCTAACCACTTTTACCCCATTACTTCCACCTTGTCTACATCTGGCCCCAGGTTTTGGATTTTGAACAGCATTACTAAGGTAGTGTCAAACTTGCAGTTGCAGCTATAGCTATGCTGGTGCTTTGCTTTTGCAGGATTCCCTTTCCCAACATATCTCTGGTGCTCCCCTCCAGGTTATCTGTGCATGTTGGTCATCACTAGGGACACTCTAAGGGGTTGTGAAATCCAGCCATTCCTCACAGTGCCATCTGAAATTCCTGTCTTCCTGAACCACCTTGTGCTGCAACTTCTGATGTTCAGCAATGGACCTGTCTGCTACCATGAATCGATTAATACAGGTCTGGTGGCTTGACATTAAGTGATGGTGCTGACCTTAACACTTAACAGGACCACTGGTTACAAAATCCCTAAATGTTCTAAAGCAGGTAGAAAATTAAAGTGCAGATATAAATTTTAAATTCTGGGGGTTTGTTTGTGACTGAACTGCATGATGTCATAAAATGTTTTTATAGATATCACAGCAGCAGAGGTTTTTAAGAGAGGATGATGTTCCTTTAATGCTTCCCTTACAGGGGTGTGACATGCAGGTTGGTATACTGTACAGTGGGTTGTGGAGAATTGACTTCTATTAGTGGCTCAGAAAACAGGAGCATAGTAAGACTTTTATTGCTGCACATGGAGCTAGGCCTCAAGAAGAAAGGTTCTTTTATGAGCACATCCTTAAATTTTCCATTAAGGTTTGAAACAAATGGAAAGGATAAAAAAAAAAAAAAAAAAAAAAAAAAATTTAGGTTTCTTATTTTGGAAGAAATGTGCTTTCATGATTTGTGTTTGTAACATTTATAAAGAAAAGCACAGCGACTGTATCAAGTAAAGGACGCACAGTTTAATCACTTCTACTTTTCATGGCATGATTGAGTTGTGAATTACAATCATTTTCCTTGCATTTATAGGCTGAAACAGATGGTGAAGGCTTAGTTATGGGAAATGTGTCCATGACTATAACTTTCTTTGTACCAGGATAGCTTCCTTGGATGCAGGTTTACTGCCTGAATTGTGCTGGTGGAATCTGAAGCACTATAGGTTCTGCTTAGAACTCGGATGGATATGAGAATGATTCAAGAGTGGGTAACTTGGTTGAGTTGTATCTGCCACACTTTAAAGTAGGCAACAAGTTTGGGTTAATAGGGCTGCTGGCTTTGTACTCAGGACCTTGGATTTTGGTCCAAAGTGTTCTTGTTTCCATTTCCCATCTTCATGTAAATATTTGGCTTGCTTGCAAAGTTCTTCCAGACATTTAGGGGAGTAGAATTAATGCCATTGCTGTAGTTCTGGAGTTCAATCTTTGTTTTTCTCCATGTATGTCTTGTAAACAGATATACATATAATGCAAAGAATGAGGTGACAGGACAGAAGCCAGATGCACATTTGTGCATTTGAAATGGGATTTATGAGTGATCAGCCTTGATAGGAAGCTTGGACTACAAATCAGTTAACAAAATGATAATGTGAAAACATCCTTAATGAACAGATGAAGTATTCTACAATATAGAATAGAATGCATACCTTTTTTCTCTCTTTATAAAATTTTCTTGACAAAGACACATTCAGTGGCACAGCAAATGTAACGCCACATACATGGTAGTCATTGGCAAACATCACAAATCAAGAGAAAGCAATTAAAGTCAGGGTTCCACCCTGCCAGAACTCTCCTGCATAGATGTGAAGTGAGTTGATGGAACTTTTCCTGCCAAGGAATACACAAAGGTGTACACAGTTGGATTCTGTCTTACAGCTGAGGCCTGCAGTCTCTTGAAATGTTATTATGCTATTTGTGCTTGTCACTCAAACATTTTATTAAAATGGAAAATAACTATTGCTAATTGTGCAAGAACTAGCAATCAAGCCACAAACATAATTTATTGCACATTCTGTTGAATAGAGTGTGCTCAGAGGTGTGATCTCCTTGTGTCCTTACATGACCCTAGAGAGCAACATATAGATGAATGTCCAGCTAGGTAGGACGTGTGAGCCCATGGGAAGAGAGTGTTCTGCACAGCTTCGCGGGACTAGTAGTCATATCCACAAATAAGAACTCCTCTTTCTGGCCCATGTCTCAAAGGAGGCAGCCAAGCCTATGATTGTGTTTGTGCTCTTCTCACCAGAGTGACTGAGGAGAAATTTATTAATAAGCCAATTCTAACTTACTTGTCTGTCACTTCTATTGAATGTTTAATGAAAGATTTATCCCTTGAGATAGCTTTCTCTCTGCTTTGCAGAAAAAGCTGTGTGACAATATTACAGTGTGCAAATCTTAGTTCTCTGCAGGGTTGAGATGGATAACAGCACTCTGACATGCATTTGCAGTTGAATGTCTTTTGTACCAAGTCCTCCATGATTTATCTCTGACCAAAGGACATTTCATCTCCAGATTAACACATTGGAGTAAGAGATCTTCAACGAGACAGGGAGTGTCAGAATCTAGTCTTTTTTATTACTTTTGTTTCAACACTAACTTAATCCTTGTAGGCAACTACCAGAACAGAAACATGTGCTTATGGAAAGACATGGTAAAGTAAACACATCAATATATTAGTAAGTTTTCAGTTTTCAGTTATTCACACAGACGCTTCTGAAAACCTCTTGAAGCAATTAAATATTTGTTAAATACAGGGCTGAGCAGACACAGGATTCTGCCGTTAACAGAATGCTGTTCACTTCAATAGCATTGGATCCAGTCTCGAAATGAGTGTGTACAAGTTTGATTTATAGTTTGGGCAATCTGAACTGATCCATGTGACACCATGCAAGCAGCTGAAATCTTTAGCAGCAGCATGTGGTTTGAGCAGGTCTATTATTTGAGATTTTCAGCCTGGATCATCTGTTTTCCGCAGGGATGTAATAAATACATGATGCTCTGTGAGAAGGAATAAAAGGCAACTCACTATGGCAGAACATCCTTGTACTTGCTGTGACAGGGAATTCAGCATTAAAGTACTTCAAGATTTGTCAGAAAGCATTTGCATGGTTTAAGAAGGCACAAAGTGCTATAGAAATGATTGTAAAGGAGGGCAGAAATTATGTACCGCGCCCTCATACTGAGGGGGCAGTTATTTCGCCGCTGCATCTGGCACCATTGGCAATCTGAGTGGCAGACTCACCAGGGCGGAGAAGGATGTAGGGTCAGACCTCTGCTGATTTGCGTCACTGAAAAGACGGTGGTGCCTGAGACTGGAAATCCACTCATTCCTATAGACGGTATCTGTTGGCTTGGATTTTGTGGCACACAGGTTGTTCAGGTCCTTTTAGAGATTATTTTTTAGCTATGGAAAGGAGCTAATGAGTCATAAGGGCTTTCAGTTTGACATATTTGTCACACTTCGAATTCAGTATTAAAGGAAATAGGGAACATTATAACTCTTCTCATACAATATGGAGATCCAACTCATTTCTTTAAGTCAGTTTTTAAGACATAATGTTAGAAATGGTTTTGGTTTTTTTTGTGTTTTTTTTTTTTTTGTATAGATAGTATAAAATTATCTTATAATTATTATATTTATATAGATAATATAAAAATATGGATTGATTAACTGTGAATATTGGGTACTTTCTTGATGGTTTAGATGGGTAGCCATTGATTTATCTGCTGCTTGGTGCATATGCAAAAAATGTTTTTAATATGTTCACTCATGAATTTTAATATAATTAAAATTTGAGAAGTTTTTTCGAAACCAAAGATACATATTTCCCACAAACAGTTAGAGAAGTATTTCTATTAACTGAATACTCATCAATCTGACTCACTTGATGCAATGATAATTGCAAGGGCACAAGTGACTTTACAGTTTCTAACAGTATTTATACTTTTATATGTAGGTCAAGACAGGTTAAGAGAAATCCAAAGTAAGACATACTCAATTATATTTCTTCTGTAAAATGCAGAAGAGGAAAATGTTTTATTTCTGAAACTGTTCTTCTCACTCAAGGACTGTAGATTTTAATCTTATTTCTAGCTCAGAAAAATAGAAAGTTTAACTCTTGTATCAGGATTCAAGGCTGTTCCTGTTGAAGAGTGTAAAACCGTGAAGCCCAGTGAACATATTTTTGTCATACAGGTAACAGGGCACAGGCTTTGTGCTAGGCTAAAAATGCAGACCTTGGGATTCCTCAGGCTTTCTCTTGACTTATGTCACCTCTCTGGTGCTTTCTTTCAGCCTGTTTGGTTAAAATAGAAATTGATGAATGATCAGTTGATCAATTGCCTAATTTTGTTTAGCTTTTGCTTAGCTGTGCAATGTCATGTAGTGTAAATCTTGCTGGTACCTATCTCTGCACTGAGGGATAATACAACAGGTTGCTATAATTTTGACTATATGGTAATAGTGTAGCAGCTAGGCTAACCTTATCTATTGACTAGACTGAAATCTTTAATTAGTGGAACAATTAATTATTGACTTTGCATATTATGTGTTTGTTTCTTTGGCTCACATAAAGTGCAAAAATTGTATGGAGACAAAATTACTGGAAAACGTCAACAACCTAAATTGTAATTTGGACACAGCAATTAGGTTTAATGTGGAGTGGTGTTTGTCTGAATACATATGTTAGATAGTTTTATAAATTTTGACAACTTCATTTATAGCGAATGCTCCTGAGGAATTTTCCCTTGCAGAATATGTTACCACTTAATTCATGCAGCA